AGCAGTGAAGCGTGTCTTGAACACGGTACAGAATAACGTAGATGCAACGGAAGTGAACGTTCTTTTTAAACTTTGCCATGCGATTGATGACTTCCTAGAGCGTTTATGTTTTGCTAGTTGAATAGTTTCATGGAAATTTATCATTAACCCTCCATATTTGTATTTGTTTACGATAGGAGTTGCCCCGGTGCATATTAATGCTGTTTTCGTGCATACATTAAAACATGGTTCATTTTTCATTCGTACATGCGGCTCCGTTCTGTCATTCTCTCAATTACATGCACTTTTCTTGAATAATGAAAATGTTAATCGTAGTCAGCAGTTCATCGATAAGAGGTGGGTTATTAGGATATTCCTGTATAACGTATTGTATTATCATACAGTGTTGTAACTTCCATTATGTAAGATTAATTTGTATCAGTTGAGATGTCGCTGATCCTTACACTTTTATCAAAGTTTTACACTTTTCTAGCGCACTTCGTGGACAACATAGGCGTTTGGACCATTCCGTTTTCTTCCGTTGTTTTCGATAATGCTAACTCTGGCTGCCTATTGTTTCGTCCATATTTATAGTCGGAATGTCGTTCTGTAGCGAAGTATTCTTTAAAGGCGCAATCTACACTTTCAAACCCACTTTCCTTCACCTCGTTAGCCGCCAGTTAGTTACAGGCCTTCTCGACTACAGTTGCTACTCACGAAAATACACAATCGTCTGTAGCCTAACGGATGACAGGAATGAATACAAAGTTACTATATTGGGTATATCTAATTTTACATTGCCCTGTTTCTGTTAATTAGCGCAAAATTAATGGAAAATATAATTTTATCACCTGTAATTGCCCTTTTCTTTGATGAATATAGTTTTTTTAAGCAGGCGATCGCTCCCCGATATTTGAGTAGTTGCTCTGCATAAATATCTTCCGAACTACTGTGCTAATAATACGCGCATAAAATAAGTTTGTTCCTCATTGAAATTTTTACGTTACAAATGCTTACAACTAGTGATGTAAATCTATATTAGTCGTGTTATTACCATGCAGATTTAATGCTACTGATACAATCAGTGTACATTTACCTGACTTGGTACTTTTGAATAAAATATCGCTATGTTATTAATGGCGCATAAATTACCTGCATTATTTGTGGTAAAATGTACAAAAAGGTTTATTTTATCCACAACGCAAAAAATCTGTTTTATCGGGTTATTGACCAGTGCCAAATTTTGACCCATGCTGCTGGTGAAGTAGTTTTGCTGTCTACTTTCTGCAAAATGTACGTCTTTGCACCAAGCGCACAACAGTTGCGAACTGCAGAACTAACTGTTTAAATGAACTCGGACAGCACATAGAGAAACCCAAATGCCGATTATCACCCAGTTGATCAACTTGTTTGTGTTATGCGTAAATAAACCGTTTTTATGCATTTTTTATTTTACAACAAAAGCAGCGCACCTCAGTAAATTATTCAATCT